TATTATTATTAGCTTTATTCAATATTATATTTTTGGTACACTACAGAATTCTCAGCACAAAGTACTTCAACAAGTTTCCGTTTCTTACTTCTTCGTCCTTCCTGACGATAAATATTGAGCGATCGCCAGTTAGAAGTTAGCAGCCCAGTCAATCGACATCTGGATAATGTACACTATTCTCGCTGCATGTTGCCAGCAACCACGATATCTCTGATTAGGCTTTCTGTAACCTTTACAGCGAAAGGTCTTACACTTTTCAGAAACGCACCTGAATAGGTTGTGCGATTAATAGGCATAATGATGTATTAAAACAAACAAAATTAGATAACTTGTTGAAATATCTAGATGACTGGAACAGGTAGCCCAGATGCTTAAACAAGCTGCCGTTAAGCGTTGAAAACGGGACACAAGATTAATTTTACACGGACCAAAATACTTCAGAAAGCTTTTAACACCCATAAAGAAGGATTCACAGCAGACGTGCTGTATATATGAACGAACAAGAACAACCTGTACGTGTGTACGTATGTGTAAGAATGACTTACTAATGTATGATATACGATGGTAATATGTTTTTATATGAAGTAAAAATAAAACTTAAAATTGAAGGTTGAAAAATTGTTTCTGAATCATTGAATTAGAAATAAAAAATGAGAATCATTTTGACCCTGAAGAAGTCCAGACAAGTTAGCTGGAAGAAACGTTGGGATTATTTAAATTACAATCGCTGAGATTATTTCAAATATAATTTTCATATATAATGACATCAAGTACATAATTGTAATGCTAAACATCACTCATATTGATTTCAATCAAAATAAGCATTCATGTGAAATAAACAGGTTGAAGTAAAGAAAAGAGAGGGTCCAATTACTTGTTGATAAATATTCAGCTAGCAACCATTTGGCGAATGGTTGAATTTAAATCTCAATCGCTGCGATTATTTCAAATATAATTTTCATATATAATGACTTCTCTATACTCGGCACCCAATTTTTGTCAAGCTATTCGTTCTAATATTGACGAATATTTGTATAAACGATATAAGATTGTATTTTTCGGGCTAGTGACACTATAAGATCAGCATTAGTGAAGGGTAAGGATAAATTTCCTAAGGAATAACGACAGAATATTGTTTATGAGATCAACTGTCATGGTTGCAATGCAGTGTATGTGGGAGGAACTTCAAGAGAATTGAATGTGAGGTTAAAGGGACACAAAAAATGTTTGAAAAATGTTCTCTAATCCTCAGTTGACTTGAAGAAACTTGAGAATAAGTCTGCGGTAGCGTTATATGCGTTGGAAACGGGACACAAGATTAATTTTACACAAACCTAAATACTTCAGAAAGCTTTTAACATCCATAAAGAAGGATTGACAGCAGAAATGCTGTATATATGAACGAACAAGAACAACCTGAACCGAAATTTATGCGGGTTCTTTTAGCAATACAAATATGTAGTTCTAATAGTTGATATCATGAGTCCATTGAAGCTAAACCACCATGGAAAACCTGGAAGCAATGGACGGCCGTTTCGTCGTATTGTGGGACTCCTCAGCAGCGAGCATCCACCATCCCGCCTCGCCAGATTCAAACCCAGGATCTATCGGTCTCGAGCGATTAACCTCCAAACCACTGAGCCGACATCCAACGGTGTTAATGTCTAACTTCAACTAATTCACGAAATTGAGCGACACATCCACCATTGTCTCTAGTGCCTCCAGGTTTCCTATGGTGGTCTAGCTTCAACCGACACATGATTTCAACCATTAAAATTACTATAATATCCACAAAAACCCTTTCTGATATTAAATACAAATATGTATTTGATGATTCTCCTTTTACATGCGCATCAATGATTCAGAGACAACTTTTCAACCATCAACTTGTACTTTTATTTTTCCTTCATATAATGACAAATTAACATCTAATATCAGCTATTATTCACCTAATCTCACATATACACACACACAATTCATTCATTCATTATCTTCATATTATGAGCTTTTCACAAGATTCACATATAACTGACTCATATTATCCTATTTACTCAAGTCAACATCTAAATATCATTGGATAAGCATAGTAAAGATTTGGTTTCATTGTTAAACACCATATATTTCTTTGATAATTTTGATTATTACCCTGAAGAAGTTCAGATAAGTCTACTGGACGAAATGTTGGAGTTATTTTTGGATTTCAATCGCTGATATTATTTCAAACATAATTTTCACATATAATGGCTATAGTCATTGTTTTCATTTCCTACAATACATCTATCTCATAATTTCATTTATAAGTAACTAGATAGTTAACATTAATATTGATACTTCTATATTCATCAGTATATCACAATGGTAATTCTTAACTTCATTCATATTGATTAGCAAATTTGTCAATACTTATTAAGATACTATTTGACCTTAAATTGGTTGCTATAGCTTTTGATATTCGTAATGTAAAGTATTATCACTATAACAATAAACAGTAAGGTCAAGTAACCTAACACTCAAGTACATTATCATTAAGTCCTGGTGAACGATGGTGAATGATGCATCTGAAGCTGACTAACATACTGTAGATAATAATTTACAAATAGCAACAATGATGGGATTATAGTTCAAATATTAATAAAACGTTTACATGCTTAATGAACTATCAATTTCGTATACTATAATCCGCTTACTGTAATAATCGTGTTTGTAAAAGTAGAAACCAATTTTTTTAATATTACGGTTAATTTGTTAGTAAACCAAGGAATTTTACGAAACATAAGCACTTTGAAATGAAGTACAGACAATTTTCAATGCATGCAATTGATCTCTTTAGGATTTAGGAATCTAACTGATGGAAAGATAAACAGTATAGGTCAGACTCAAGTCTGTTTAGTCCTACTTAATACTGTCTACATTACCATTACTTGTTGAAACTTGTCAGAATAAGGTTGTCAAGATTGTCGAGTTGCATTGAAAGTATAGACCGATGAAGATTAGACAACCACTGAAAACTTGGAAGTACTGGACATCCATCTCTTCATAGTATGGGACTACTCGGCAGTGCACATTCATGACCCCACAGGCTGTAATCGAGCCCAGAGCCTTCGTTCTCGCACCCAAACACGTAACCAAATTAGTGAGCCGACATTCAACGGGGTTATGGTCTAACTTCAATCAATCCACAATATTACACGACTTATTGTTAATAAAAGTTGGAATTATTTCGTTTTGATTTTGAATTGTTCAAATATGCGAGATTTATTAGTCTATGCTTAAGGTATAAAAGAGAATAATGAAATCATTTTAAAAGTTGTTTCAGACTGAACCAACCAAAACACTACTTATAACTAACAAGTTTACTCAATTACATTAAGAAAAACTGCATACCATTAAGTAGAGAGTACTACCTTCATATGGGATTAAGAAGCTTTCATATCAAAGTTAGAATTGGATAACGCACAGCACAATACTTAATTTTCGAATTACTTCACAGCATTGAAATATTTAGAAAATTTTACCATTATTATTATTCGAAGCAAGTACCTTAATAGGATGGAAACCGTTGGAAGTAAACATCTCGAATGACTTCGAAAGAAAACATTATCCAGACAATAAATCAGAATTCACTTTAATGAACGGCTTAATCTATGATACAATTTATGATTAAATAGGGGATGCAAATATTACACATGCATAACCTGAAAATTCCCTTGTAGTTAAACATTAAGCAAATATTACAAGCGATCGTACATAGAGTCAAGTTTAGTGCTGAAAAGTATCAATTTATGATTGCTTTTTGTGTTATGTGCATATACATATGAATTATAATTGTTTCTTAAATAATACCTACAGTTTAATTCTTCTTCAATTAGATATTCTTAAATATAGAGATAAGATTATAGTAAACTGTCCGAATTGGGTACAAACTGATACTTGATTTCACTTAGTATTGTTTGTTTGAATCTTCCCGTTGATATTCAAAACTGCAACTGGTCAGTCTCTGATTGGCATATGTGCATATTATGCGTATTGCCTCGATATAGCCTAAATGCACAAGCATGGTAAGCGAAGATGGATACTTGACTTATTTGTACAATGTAGAGAATATGATAAAACTGTGATGGAGAATAAAGATTTATGTCACAATTCGTAGTACACAACATAGACCAATGTAATTAGACTACACTTAATTATAAATCGATTGTGCTCATATTTGATCATTATTCAATGAATATTATTCAAGCACAACTAATATAGGGAGAAAATGAAGGGAAAAAAATCAGTATTCCATAGAATTACCAAAAACGTATGATGTATGTTGTACTGAACAAAGTTCCCATTAAGTTAATACAAAGAGTATCATTCGTATATGAATATTTAACGGAACAATTTATTACACTGAATTACAAATGGAAGTAATAGTTAACACGAATGGTATTGAATAAAAATGTGTTTCTGCATTTTTTTTTAAATAAACAAAACAACAATATATATAGTGCACTCAGTGTTCAGCCACCTAGACTGGTGGCCACATTGCAACTTGATCGATAGCATTCGATCAGCACTAAGGACCTGACACGCATGAGATTGATCACCACCCAGTGATCAATCAATTGTGATTACATCTCAGTCAAACAGGAGGTCGGTCACGGCCCGAATGGCTCAGTGGTAACATCTCTGACTGTGAAGCCGAATGATACGGGATCGAATCCGCCAGGGAGCATCAGTTCCCTCAATATTACAGGTACACCTTGCTGACAAGTGCCAAGTAGCACGAAACCCGGGTCCAGGGTTTCCTGTTGACCACTTCCAACCGCCATGTTACCTTAATAAACAAAACTGTTTGTTAGATAGTATTTAATCAAACTCAACTTTCTGCCGTTAGACATTTCACTTTCGATTGGTATTACTTACATACTACTTATATTTGTCGACATGAGTAGAATACACCACACAAAAAATGTCCATTTCAATAACAAGAATAAAAAAGGAACATTACTCACCTTTATTTTATATTTACATACTGGTTCAAATTCTCCACCCAGTATAATCATTGATGATTGTTTTATTTCATAAAAAATATAAATCCATAATGTAACAAATAGTAATAATGTAATTAAACGATATTTAAATAGCATCATTGTGTATTTAAGAATGATAAGTGGTTAAATGTTAGCAACTCATAGAGGACTAATAATCTAAATCCCCTTCTGATAATAATCTATATATTATTTTTCCCAAGTTTTAGTCAATTTTATATAAAGAACATATAGAATAATTAGTTGAGTAATAATTTAATTAAAGTGGAATCAACTATGGATCTCAACATGTGAGATAGTTATCTATTTATCTGCCGGGAAATGTATTCTCATTTTATTGATAATATAAATGAAATATGAGAAAAATTATCCAATCAGAAAGCAAGTTCATATCTACCAATCATAATAAAAGATTGTCTCTATAATAGGAAGCAATACCATCTTAACAACCAATCAAAATAATACATTTTACGACAGTATTTGGCAGATAATTTAACGCTTCTATTGTTTGAGTTTGATTATTTATCATTGGCTTTAAGGTAATTGATTGTTTTATATTTTCTTGTAATACTTTAGATCATGAGTCAATTAAAGTTAGGTCGCCATGGGAAACCTGGAAGCACTGGATGGCCGTTTTGTTCTATTGTGGGATTCCTCCACAGTGCTCATCCATGATCCCACCTCGTGAGATTTATTTATTGATGATAAATTATTTTTGTTGTATTACCAGTAAGATAAATGGGTATACATTAATAATGTGAAATGTGAATGAACAAGAGAGTCAGTAAGGGTGAATAGAAAAGGGTAGTAAAATGTAGACCGGTCTTGTGGAATTGTTACAAAATAGCCAACAAGATGCAATCACATCTCAGATTCATTGAAGGTAAATGAGTAAAAAGCAATAGGTAGAATAAAAATATGATCGTGTATTATCACTAACGAAAGCGGCATATCAAATAGTGACTGCAGCATCTACTGGTTTACTATATCTCCCTGTTAATTTCTTCGTTGCATCATATAGTTGTTTCATATTCCCTTCTCTTGCAGATTTTTCTGCCGTCATTGCTAGTTCTTCCATATATTTCTTCTTGTCGGCTTTATTGTTCTTTTTCAGTTGCTTGTTTCCTACTGTGTACTCTGCTTGTGCCTTGACTTTCTCTGCTCGTGTTCGACTGTTGTTAATTGCTGTCTTGTTGTTCTTCCTTTCTTCAATCTCTCCCAGGGTTCTCATAGAGATCCATTCCTTATGATGATGTCTCTTGAGACCAAGAACCTCCTGACACGTTGAATTTAATACTTCTTTGATCTCTTTCCAATTGTTCTCCGTTGTAGTTTCTTCTTTCAGTAGATCCTGTAGAGCTTGGAACTTGTTTTTGAGAGTTATCTTGAATTGGTTGAGTTTGTTGGTATCTCGAAGAGAGGCTCTATGGAACCTTTGTAATGCAGTTTCTCCAGTTGTCCAGTGCTTTCTTTATATATAAAAAAATACTTTTGAGATTCATTATTGTAATTTATTATATTGGGTAACTTGATAAATCAGTAAAAATGTATTTATTGAACAAATAAACTACAGTTGAAGGAATAAAATTTGTCAATGAGAAGAGACAGCGTCCGATTATCTTATGGTATATAGCTAGCAGTTAAATTCAGTACTCGCGTTTCGTTCTATTTAGGACTTCTAAAGTGAATATACATATGCCAACATCTTAGATTTTATGTTCACTTTGAGATTTGAAACCAGGCCATTTGTCGTAAAAAAAATCTATTCGTGTTCATTTACTTACTTACGCCTGTTACTCCCAATGGAGCATAGGCCGCTGACCAGCATTCTCAAACCCACTCTGTCCTGTGCCTTATTTCCAAGTTCTATCCAACTTTTGTTCATTCTTCTCATGTCTGTCTCCATTTCTCGGAGTAATGTGTTCTTTGTTCTTCCTCTTCTCCTTTGACCTTCAGAATTCCATGTGAGGGCTTGCCTTGTGACGCGATTGGGTGATTTCCTCAATGTGTGTCCTATCCACTTTCAGCGCCTCTTCCTGATTTCTTTCCCAGCTGATATCTGGTTTGTTCTCTCCCACAGTAGGTTGCTGCTGATAGTGTTTTGCCAGCGGATCCGAAGTATTTTGCGTAGATTCTGCTTCCGTCTGGGCACCTGGGCAGTATCACAGCCCTCACACAAATCGAATGAGATTTGTGAGGCACATATATATCTGGTGCTTCCTTGTACCATTATTTATGTGTTTAAATAAATAAAAAATTTTGCATAGATAACTGTTAATAAACACTTGTATTTTCTGGTTGATGCCTTTTGTAGTTTTCTAAGTTTCCGCCCCATACAGTAGAACTGTGTTGACATTTGCAATAAAAATTCTGATCTTGGTGTTGGTTGTCAATTTTTTTGAGTTCCAGATGTTCTTCAGTTGTAAATATGCTGCTCTTGCTTTGCCGATCCGCGCCTTCATATCCACATCAGATCTACCGTGTTCATCAACGATGCTGCCCAGATATGTAAAGGTTTCCACATCCTCCAAAGCTTCTCCGTCAAATGTAATTCGATTGGTGCATACTGTATTGTATCAGAGAGTCTTGCTTTTCCATTTGTTTATATTGAGACCTACTGCCACCGAGGCTACTGCTACACTGATCGTTTTCTCCTGCATTTGTTGTTGCGTTTGTGATAGAAGAGCCAGATCATCTGCGAAGCCTAAATCATCCAGCTGCATCCTAGCTGTCCATTGTATCCCGTGCTTCCCTCCAGATGTTGACGTCTTCATAATTCAGTCGATCACCAGGAGAAAGAGAAATGTTGAGAGTAAGCAGCCTTGCCTGACACCGGTGTTTATTTCGAACGAGTAAGTGGGCTGTCTTCCATGCACGATTTTGCAGTTTAATCCATCATAGGAATTCCGTATGATATTGACTATCTTTTCAAGCACGCCGTAGTGTCGAAGAAGCCTCAATTGTGTTGTCTTTATTGATGTTATTGTAAATCGTAAATTTTAGTATTATTTTATGCAGCTTATAACAAAACTTGAAAGCTAACTAACACTGCTTGAATAGTGTTTTCTCAACAACCAGTCCAATTCATACCGTCAACTTAATTGCATTCTTTATTTCTCAGAATATGAAGGGATTTCTTACAACGTAAATAAAATATACTACTAAACAGCACTGCATAAATCAATGTCTGAAATTCTTAACATCTAGTTGAAATATGAAATAACAACGAAAACAAATTGATTTTATCTTAGTAGAAAGCATGAGTCAATTGAATGGGATGCAGGTACATCCACTTGAGTCGTCTCAAATTGAACGAAGCGCGAGTATTGTATTCCACTGCTAACCATATGCTATTTACACTACATAATCTTATTTCGTAATCTTTATCGAGGTAATCTGTACAAAATGTTCATATTGTCAACTAAGACTGATCAGATTTCAGTGAAAATACCAACAAGAGAATAACGCGTTTGAAGCCTTACCTACCCTTGAATTTGCGTACCTTCAAATTTACTTATTTTGTAGATAGTGTCATTTGTGTTTATAACAATCTTCCAATTTCCTCACATGATTGTTCCTACGCTTATATATAAATGCCTATTCATTCTAATTCGTATTTGCATACTGCATGCTTCCTGATTAAATTCACTTAATATTGTTTTTTTTTGAATTTTCCCATTGATGTTTTAGGACTGCAACTGGTCAGTCTCTAATTGACATATGTGCATACTGTGCGTATTGCCTCAATATAGCCTTAATTCACAAGCATTATAAGCAAATATGGATAGTTGCTAGCATTGGAATCTAGGATGCGCGTTTCGTCCTATTTGGGACTCGTCAACTGGATGTACCTGCATCTCAGAGTTGATGTTCACTCTGGAACCCAGTACCTTTAGCTTCAAACGCCATCGCGTTATCCACTCAGCCACTGAGTCCTGATGGCCACTTGCTTGTGCCACTTGGTGACGAGTCCCAAATAGGATGAAACGTGCGTCCTGGATTCCACTGCTAGCCACTATCCATCTTTACATACATTCTGATTGTTTGATCTGTGCTCTACGATAATAAGTTGTAGTTATTACTTGGTAGAGTTTTCTGAAATTTATACATGTTGGTAGAAAGTTCTCGTAATAATGATGATCAAAACTATTGATTTACAAAATATAGTAAGTATTTCAATAATAATCCAAATCATTACGATTATCATTAGAACACATTAAAACTTCATAAACAGTGTGTATTAAATTTCATGGGATTCTAAAATACATTCTATACATGACCAATATTCTGTATAAAACTATGTAGGTCATATTACAAATAGCGTTAGTTGTATTATTATTATTATTAGTGCAAGTATCGATAATTTGAATATGCGAATGTTACTATGGTGAATAATATAAAACTACACAGTAGTTTACACAAACAAAAATCAGGTTGGTGCTTTTAATATCTACCTTCAGTATTGATTTATTTAATCCAATAAAAAAAATTTTTTAAATTCATATTTTAATATTTCACTATAGTCTGTGAGTGAGAATAGTTGATCTCTAAAGAGAAACAAAAAAACACAAAACATAAACAAAAAAAATTGTATTGATCGATATTAGTTTGAATAACTTAAAACTATGGCAAAACTCATCAAGAGCATATGGTATTAAGATTGAAAGTATAAAATTATAGTAAATCATTCAATGATATGTTGGTTGTCAATTACATTGTATATTTCATTAAAAGTATGTTTTTTTTTAAAAAAAAACAGAAAGAAAGAGGTATTTCCTGGAGCTCTAATGAGAAGCAGTGAACAGTGGAGTTCAACAAGGTTTTATTTATTTATTAATTTAAACACATAAATATTGGTACAAAAAGGCACCAGATATATATGCGCCACACAAAACTCAATTGATATGTGTGAGGGCTGTGATACTACCCAGGTTCCCAAACTGAAGAAGGTGGTTTTCTTAGGAGGCAACACCAGTAGCCTTTGACCTAAAGATCTGATCCACAAGGCAGTAGAGCATCGTCAGGAGATGCAGTTTCATGGTAGCCAGTGATCAAGGATTGATTCATTTGTTCCCTCAGGATACTGGAGTTCATATGCACCA